AACACATCTACTACATACAGAGCTATAAATACTCTGAGTGGGTAGAGAAGAACACCCAGCTAGATACATGTGCAAAATGCATGCTTCAGTATTGATCAAATCACTTAACAGCTATAAATAGCAAAGAGGCAAGGAACTGATTTATACAATATGTGTCGAGTTATTAGGTAACCTTGGCTCCAAAGGTGTAGCTCGCTTGCTACTTTTATTCTTACTCATTTTGCATATATTGCACTCAACTAAATGAAATTATCCATTCTTTGAGCTAGATGAAGCCAAAGAAAGACCTGTTGAGTAGTTCATCCTTGGTATCAGAACTCTGCTCAGTATTGAAGAAGCTGACCTGGCATAATCCATTTGCTGAGTTTGGTCCTTGCTGAGCTGGCTGACAACACTCCAGGCAAGGAAGATCTAAAAGAAATATTTTTACAAGGATGTTTTCTGACTTGTTACTTTTCTCCCTCACATCCCCAACCTGAAGGGCCGATGAATGGTGTTGGTCATTATTGCTTTTTTTTTTATTATTATTATTTTTTTAAATGAGCTTACATTTTAATCTATTTGGTTTAAAGAACCTTTGGTGTTGAAACTCCAGTGACATAGGCCTTGATGAGAACTTAGGCTTATGTGCCTAATCTTAATACCAGAAATCTGGTCTACACATCACTGACTTCAAGAATTCCTCTTGATAAAGGTCTTAAAGTAGAAGGCATTAGTGACTGCGCATGAACTAAATGAATGAAAATGTGGGATTATGAATAGCAAGACTCTTTGGTCTCATGGCAAGGGTCCTGTATAGTCCGAATGAACAAGCATGTTTGCCACATGCTTTACTGCCAGTTCTGTGGAAAATGTGGTTCAAGACCAAATTTAACAGCACCTATGCTTTCAGAAAGAAACGGTCTTACAGTTTTGGCTTCTTGTTGTCATACTAGCATCAAAAAGAAAATCCAACTTAACCACTTTATATGCTACAATAAAAGTAACATTTTAGCCTTTATATTCTGTCCTAACAATTTGTGAGGTTTCTGTTGCTGAGCACCTTCTCTCTGCTTCCAGATTTGTATATCTTTATAGAGACCTAGTTCTGTCAAAAATGAAGTGGTGATAAAATATACATAGAATTGTTAATAGTACAAAGATAACAGTCTAAAAACATCCTTAGAAATTAGTGACACAGATTGAGGATACAGTATATTAAACCTGTCTTTAGATGGTCAGTTTTAAACACCTATGTTTTTAGGCTTTGTAATACTCAGACTTTCCATTTTGCTGCAAAAGTTTCTTTTGGTTGCAGGTGGCCAAATACAAAAGCTATAACTCAAGTTATTTAATTGATAGTGTATGTGTTGATATTTATGGAATTTGTTGAACAAAGAAGAGTTAAAAATTATGTATTTGAAGTGAAAAAAAGCCAAAGTTCTTAAGTTAATTGCTGGAGAATAATATTATAGCAGAAAGTCCACTTGGAGGCAAATCATTAGGGGTGTACGTCATGGGTCAATGCTGCAGCCGGTATTATTCAGCCTCTTCATTAATGTCTTGGATGGTGGGACAGTGCAGGAAATTTACAGATAATACGGCAATGGAAGGAGTGACTTATACACCACGTGGTTGTGCTGCAGTTTGAAGGAACCTGGACAGGCTGGAGGATTGGGCAGAGTGGAAGAGTACTGTCAGCAGTCAAGACAGTTAATCCTCTTTATACTCAGCATTGGTGAGATCATATCTGGAGTGCCATGTCTACTGTGGCCTCCTTAGTATGAGAAAGGTATGGACTTAGTGGAGTGAGTCCAGAGAAGGGCCACAAAGGTGATGAAGGGCCTGAAGCATGAGGAAAGACTGAGAAAACAGACTGTTCAGCTTGGAGAAGAGGGGGCTCAGGGGAGACCTTTCATGCCCAAAGAAGGGCAACGAAGCCAGCGAAGACTTAGAGAAAAGTCTTATGAGGAGCGGCTGAGGGAGCTGGGATTTCTCCAAGCTAAAAGCTTGGAGAAAGGAAGGCTCAGGGGAGACCTTATTGTACTTGACAATTACCGTTAAGGAGGTTGTAGCGAGGTGGGGATTGGGCTCTTCTCCCACATGCCTATTGTTACGATGAGGGGAAATGGCCTCAAGTTGTGCCAGGGAAGGTTTAGGTTGGATATGAGGAGAAATGTCTATTGAAAGGGTTGTGTGGCATTGGAACAGGCTGTCCAGAGAAGTGGTTGAGTTGCCATCCCTGGAGGTCTTCAAGAAACATATAGATGCAGAACGTAATAGCATGGTTTAGTACTAGATTAAAGGTTGGACTAGATGATTTTAGAGGTCTTCTCCAGCCTGAATGATTCTATGATTCTAGGGGGGATCTTAGTAATGTGTATAAATTATTGATGGGAGAGAATGAAGAGGGAGACAGGTTGTTGTCAGTAGCACCCAGGAGACCGTGGACAGGAGTTAAAACACTTGAAATTCCAGCTGAACAAAAGAAAATCCTTTTTTACTGTGAGGGTGGTCTAACACTGGCACAGGTTGGCCAATGAGGTTGTGAAATCTCCATTTGTATAGCCAGTGTGAAGCTGTCTGCAGCCAGCTCTAGGTGACTCTGCTTGATCGGGGGGTTGGACTAGATGACCTCAAGAGGATGCTTCCAGCCTAAATGGTTCTGTGATTCTGCAGTTCTATTTCTCAGCTTAAGAGAATTCAGTGGGGAAAAAATAATCCAGTGACTATATGTGTACATAAATATCAGGCAATTGTGTGTAATGAGATAGAAATGTGAAAAAAAAAAAAAACTGCAATGGAATCCATCACTAAGTTAACTTCTTTCCTTTGCAGTGGTTGTGCTCTCAGGTTTCACCATTAAATTCTTGAATTGTGCTTAGATCAGTGGATTCTGATGTTTTTGCCCACCTTGACTGTACTGCTCCGTTCAGATATGTGGAAGAAATTTTGCAGTTTCAGCTTTCATGGGTCCAGTCTGTCAGCAGTTGCTGGGACATGTTTATCTGGCACTGAGATGTGACTGTAAAAGGAGAGAACAACACAGTAAAATGTTCCCCTAACACAATTTTCTCTTAATACAAGCTTGGATGGAAACATTTTGTGGGAGACAGTAGGATTTGGCCAACCTCTTTTCAGCGGTTTGTGGGGACAGGACAAGGTGTAATGTCCACAAGTTGGAGCGCAGGAAGTTCCACAGCAAGATGTGAAAGAACTTCTTCATGGTGAGGGTGACAGAGCACTGGAACAGGCTGCCCATGGAGGTTGTGGAGTCTCCTTCTCTGGAGATATTCAAGGCCTGTCTGGATGCCTACCTGGGCAACCTGCTCTGAGGAACCTGCTTTGGCAGGGTGGATGGACCTGATGATCTCTTGAGGTCCCTTCCAACCCCTACAATTCTGTGATTCTGTGATTTGCAGACAATCAGAAATACTTAATTCATTGAGAAACTCAAAACTAAGAACTGTAGAGTTGCAATGGCTAGATGTCAGTTATAACATGGTTTCTTTTGTTTCAGACCTTCAAAACTTAGGACATCATTTATTTATTTATTTATTTTTCCAGATTTTAAATGTCTTCTCTGACAGAGATAGGCAAACAACAACTTAATAAATATATATTTTTTGAAAACTTGCTTATTCATCAGCACCAATGCAGTGAGATAAGATATTCTGGTATATGAAACAAACAAACAAAACCACTGATTTTATCACTGTGTTTATTAAAAGTGCTTTTATTCTTCTTGTTAGGCCTTTCTGACTGGTTGTAAGCATGTATAAAGTGTCAGTTTTCTGCTATAGTAGACAGAAATTTTCTGCGCTTGTAATCTACTGCCAGTGGTGCAGCTTCTGGCAGTAGATAATGTTTTAAGCATCTGCATCACTGAGCACATTTTACAAGCACTTTAAGCTATCCTACCATGCATTCAAAGGAAACATTAGATCTCCTTGACCACAAATTGAATTTACTTGCAGGGCTCCATTTTATAAAACATAAAAAGATGCTTGATTTCTGCCAAATTCAGTTTTGTATTTTAAAGTCTTATTTTCTTAAGACAAGCTGAAAGACATTGTGAATCAGAAAATCTTTCTGATTTCCTGATTTCTGGTTTCCTGGTTTAAAAAAAAAAAAAAAAAAAAAAAAGAGTTGAAATATGAAAGTTGAGTAGGGGACGAAGATGAAGATGGCAGGGAGGAGGATGGGAAATAGTTTTTCGTTGTTGTTGTTTGTTTGTTTTTTTTGAAAGTGAAAACCAGAATATGCAGGTTTAGAAACTGACTTAGTTTATGCAAGTGTTGGAAAACAATAATTTGTAGTGCAATGTAGTGTCCATCTGTGCAGACAAAGAGAAGGTTCTCTGTATATAAAATTTGCTGCATAGCTTGGTGTAGCCTAGTCTTTAGTCTAGTGGGATTACCATTCTTGTCGATTGTAGGTTCTAAATTTGCCAGAAGTGATTAACAAGACTTTCAGAGACTAAGAATTTAGCAGATTGCAGACCAGTAAGTTCAGGTGCATATTTGTGATGAATGTAGAATTGCACTGTTTTCAAATCTTTAAATCGAACAGTTATGTATTCTTAGTAAGATTTAACTCACCTAATTTACCCTTCAATAATAATTGTGTCCCATTTCAGTACAGTTAATGCTGAAATGTGTAGTGTACAAAATCTTCTCTTTCACCCAAAATAGTCTGTGTTCAATATCTAAGGTAGAACTCAAACCTAGAAGTGGGTGGGAATTAAGATGTCCAGGTAGATACAGAATCTGAGAGAGCAGAAGGGTGTGTCGGGGTTTCATGTATGAAAAATGGGAAACGGACAGAGTAGAGCCTTGAGAGTTAAAGAAGTCTAGTAGGGCAAGCATTTCTAAAGCTAAGTCATGAACTCACTTTTGACTTGTTGACAGTAATTTCAAAGTTTGCTTTTCTTTTGCAAGATAATCTTGTCTACTGCAATCCTTTTTTATTTTTATTTAATTTTAATTATTCAAACCAAGTATTTTCTACTGTCCCAATAGATGCTGCATCATGAATAGTGAACTTCTGGCAGGCCCATTGAGAAGTACCATGAAGTTTCTTCTACCATTAAAACTGACAAATTACAAATATACTGTGAAAGACAGAATTTAAGGATATGTGGAAGTGATGCAGCTCATGATGTGCTTCAGAAAAGTAAGTTATTTTGTCTTTACTTTTTTAGAGGCTATCACTGAAAACTTTTCTTAGAGATATTTTTTTTTAATGTTTGTGCAGGAAGCACTTGCTCATGTCTAAGAAATAGAAAAAGAAAAAAAAAGAAAAGAATGTTAGCCTTGAGAGGAAGAAGTGGCATCAATTGTTCTGTGAATTCCTGGAAAATGCTAAAATTTAGGCAGTGATTTTCTGTCTTGTATCTCTGGATGCTGCAAATTCTTTTCTGTTTTAACTTTTTTTTAACTGACAGATTTGTCAGACAAATCTGTACACAAAATGGTGCTTTTTTGTTTATGATATTACTTTTTAAAATGCTGTTTTGATCATTGTTCTAGTTTTGTCTGTAAAAGGGTGGGCCTTGCTGCCATTTCAGTAAGTTAGAAACCAGAGCGTGCTTCTTGCATGCTTCCTATGGATGCTTATATATACATGTGTATATATAAAATCTTCATATATTGGTGTTGTGTTCATGTAAATAAAATGGAGGCACTTAACCTGGGCAAAGGCAAGTCTTGACTAATGAGCAGTCAGAAAATTTCATAAAGTGACTATTACCCGTCCTAGTATTGAGTTCATTTAAATGCTTTGAGTATCTAGGGAACCTATTTATAGTGTTCTTTCAGGAAACACTGATATGAGTGTAGCATTTTATTCTATTTGTTGCACTAAAATAACCAACTACAAAGTTCAGGGCATACCAGGACAACATAAATTTTAAGAACTTTTCAATATCTATTTAAAATCACTTCTTTCACTGTTAGTTCAAATATTTATATATATATATTAAAACAAACAAATAAACAAACAAAAAAAACCCAACAACATATGAACAATACAAAAACGTGAACAGCTGAGTGTGACTCAGGGCTAAACGTTGACAAATGTATTACCTTATGTGTATGTTTAAAGTAGTTTTCAAGGGAACTTTTAATAATAAATACCGTTTTCTGCTGAATGAAAAGCAGTAACTGATAAGGGCCCTGAACAGATAATTGAGTTCAAGACTTCTCTTTTTTGGGGAGTTGAGGAAGTAAATTTTAGCTATATACTCCATCTGTTTGTTTAGTTGATACCTTTTTTGGCAATGTTTTACAAATTATAAAAAGCAAATACTATTTATAAATCTGAAACATCCTTCTAATTTGAATAATTCCTGTTCTACAGACTTCCAAAAGGGATTCTCAATCATCTTTCTTTTAAAAGGTCCCCATCTCTTCAGTGGTTTCTAGATTATTGTCCAGAAAACTGGGTGAAAGAGGCACAATTTCAGTATCACTCCTACCAGTAAAAAAAACTGCTGGTAGAAATTCCATTCTCTGCTATCATTATCAGAAAGGATTTTTTTCTTTTCTTTTAGAAACTTCAGAAGCTAGTAGATGATTTAAATCATTGATAGTAAAAAGGAGAAGGGTATTTGAGATGTCACAATTGAGCTAGGAAAAAGTCTGTTCAGAGTATCATTTAAAGACACAAGAAATGTTTGTTCAATGTTGGTACAATAATAATTATTATTTGTACAGTCCATTTCCATATGCTAGAAATAAAATATTGGGTGATTTGGATTCCAGTGAAAGGTAGAATATTTTATTTCTGATTAGAGTAGGTTTTTTTCTTTATCGTATTGATTACAGGTACCATCCAATTTCAAAATATTAGAATTTTTCCGAGTTCCAATGTACTTTGAAGTTATTCAGCAAACATGTTACATGAATGAGTACCCTGGAGGTAGGCTAATGTGGCCAAATAGTTATTCAGCCTTAGATATACTTAGTGTTTATTTCTACATGCAGTTTTCCAGCTTAGCATTTTTAAAGAAGCACAGCATATCAACATTAAAGATGAAAATAGTGTAAGCTGTTTCTGAGAGATCAGCACAGAAGCATTGGATAGAGCTCAAAGAAAATGATATGACAATCTGAGATTGAGGGTAAAGAAGGGCGAATATAGAGCTAAATATTCTCTTTACTTTTACATTTACATTTCCTGATAATTAAGAAATTATACAACTGTGGTGCAAAAGCTACTTTTTTTTTTCTTGAATATTATAATCTAAATACATTTTAGTGAGCTTTTATAGCTTTTTTTTTTTTTGTAACTTTAAAAAAAAAACAGCGAATGAATAAGAAGCTTGCATGTAATGTCTAGCAGTGCTGGACATTTATGGGTACATGTCTTAGAATGGTTAGTGATTGCTTTCCCCCTCCCTTAATGGGAGGGGCACTAGTGGACCAGTCCTTAATGGACTAGTGGTCCATTTTTGTAGGACTTGTTAGGTTCCAGTCCTGTAGGAAGATTTACCTATACAACATCATATATGATTAGGTTTTCTGGGTGTTGAGCCGTTGATCAGATTAAGCTGTCGATTAAGCTGTTTAAAATTTATGGAGCTGCGTAATGCCATTAAAATTTGTAACGTATCTTTTGTAGCTAGATAGAACTTTTGGATCTGAGCCCTTATTTTCCTGAAGATCAAGCCAGTTGTTTGCTTTGTAAAGGTGTGTTCCCATTTGGAGATTGACTTAATAGTTCTGTATTTTATTGAATTTAACTGCTTGTCATTTCTATTACAAAAAGAGTTCTGGCTTAATTTTTTGATGGAGCGGTATCTTCTTAACCTCCTCTTAAACATTTTTTTTTCCTGTATCTTAAAATTATCTGTCCAAAATCTTCTGGTTTTCATAATAAATAACATAAGAATATGAAATTTTAAATGTATCGTATGACTTGCGATGATATTCTTTCTCATGACCTATTTTTTTTGTTAAACTGAGCTTTGCAATGCAGATTTTTTTAAATATGTTCTTAGCTTTTATACCATGAAAATGAAGTTACTAGCAGAGTTGACTCCATGTGGTGTTTGTAGACTACAGCAGGTGAACACTCACTTTCTGCTAAAGTTTCAAGCTTCAGCGTAAAGAGAATAGGGAGAAATAAAAGGATCATGTCAACAATCTGTCAGCTAACCCAGTGAACAGAGATGAAAATGTCAGCAGCTTATCTGCCAAGAGGGATGAATCACTTGTCTCCCTGTCTGGGGAGAATCATGATGGAGTGAACTGGCTTACCAGACCATCTGCCCAGCGGTGCTGTCCGAGAAGGGGAGCAGTCTGCTGGCTGGTAGGCTATCAGCTGCTCACCTGGGGTCTTTGCTCGGATGGCACCATAAGAAAGTGAACTGCACAACAGAATGAGGGAAGGGTAGAAAGATTAAATCCAAACATAAGTCATACCAAGGCAGAATTCTTTCAGAACAAAATGCATGTGACTTAAAAAAATACCTTTTAAGTTACAATGGTGAAAAGCATACTGGAATTGGGCAGCTTGAATTCCTTTGTGCATAATCTTAAAATCATGAAAGTACAGTTAAACTAATTAAGGGGAAGTTGGCATGTTTTCCGTATTTTCTTATGCTTATTTCATATTTCTTGAAGTAATGTTGATTCTAATGTTTTATCTAGCATTCTAGTAATAATTATAACTTATTATAATTATAAATATGTCCTTACTTAGAAAGTAAGGACATATACTTAGAAAGTATATGTCCTTAGAAAGTAAGGACATATAGATGATAATCACATTGCTTCACTATTCAGTTGGATGAAGTAAGTAGAACATGAAGTATAGTTTTCAGAGCTCAAATAATGAAAAGTGCAATTCTTACTTGACTGATAACTTATTTTCCTTGTAACATTCAGTTTGTTATCCTTTTTAAGAATATGCCAGAATGTGATGTAAGATAATGCTTCGTTCTCAAATAAAGATGCCTGTGTTGCTGTTGGCTGAAGTCAGCCATATAGGATCTGAATGGGAATGCGCCCTTGTATTAGTATCATCTCACCGACATTTACATTGGGATATCTATAATTTACATAGATAAAATCAATTTCAGGCCCTGTACAGTTTTTCTCTACAGTAATGATTTTTTGTGTGTCTAAGAATGTTGTATAAACCTAATCAAATGCTTTGCAGAGGGCTTTTATGTCAAGACAGTTCCTTTGATCAAACAAACCTGTATTCAGGAAAAAAAAATGTTGTTTGGCAAGACTGAGTTCTCCTAAAGCTGTTTTGACTCTTGTTATTCTAACATCTCTAATTCTAAACCAGTTTTGTTCTTTATCAACTATTTTATGATTCTACCAAAAAACAATGTCAAAGTAACTAGCATATATTTTACATGGCTATTCTTTTACTCCTTAAAAATTCTGTTTATTAGTAGGAGGAAAAAGGTCAAAGTAGGTTGTAATTAAATATAAAGAAATAGGGGCAATTCAGTGAAGAGTGAATTTATGAGAATCTAAAAGTATATTACAGTATACTTATATATACAGTGAGGAAATACTAATATTGATATTTCTGCACTGATGAGAACCTTCACTTTTAATTTATCAGCTATTTCTTTTAGGAATGCCATATTCCATGGAAACACAACTCTTAAGCAATCATAGATTGAACACTTGTCTGTAGGATGCTAGATTTCATCATCAAAATAGTTTGCACACCTTACATTCTAAAAACAAACAAACAAAAACAAACAAACAAACAAACAAACAAAAAAAAACACCACAAGTCTCATGGGAAAAATTTAGAACACTTGATTATGTAGCTGTTAACAGTAAATCTATCCTGAAATGTGTAGTTAAGTAATAACAGATGTCAGTATCAAGGAAAAATATGCAAAACTGACGACAAAGTAAAATAAAATAGAACACTGGAAGAAGTTTGCCCTTATAAATGCTTTCTGGAGTTTAAAAGTCACCTTTCATGTGAAGTGTTTCTTTTTTGCAAGTTGTGTGGCTCTGTTAAGTGTCTGGATTTTTAATAAGTTCCATATTAAAATATACAGGTCACTTTGTTCATCAATTTAGAGCTTATTTCATTCTTTGAAGAATGTTCTGTGGAATTTCTGCTCTCTTATATGATTTATGCTTTGAAAGGAATTGCCCAACCGCGTCTCCTGAGATGTTTACCTCTACTCTTCTTGTACGTTTCATGATATGTTTTAGTGTCTGTCTGTGATTTGTTCTGCTCTCAAAGGATGCAACTGTTAATTATCCTCTGCTGTTTTGAATTCCAGTGTGACTTTGTATTGAATATTAGTTAATGCATACGTGTTTCTTCACAGAAATTCAAGGAAAACAAGAGTTTATTCTTTTGCACTTGTTTAATTTTTAATTGCCTTTTTCAAGTAACAAACAAGCTTCAAGCTGACTTGCAGATGTTGAAAACTAGGTCATCTTGTTTATGCACCAAGTATGCTTGCTGTACTGCAGAGTGGTAGTCTATAAAAACAAATTAGAAGGGTTTTCCTAGGAGTAGGCAAGTGGATAAGAATGTTAGGGTATCCTTACTGCATCCAGCTATGGAATAACGGAATAATCATTATTTTTTCTTAGTTGTGCACCTATTATAATTTTTTTTACTTGTTTGGATTCAATTTAACTGTTGGACTCTGGATGAGTAATTTTTAAGGGGATTCTTCACTGAAAATATAACCAATGGAGTCATACTAATACTGATTTTCAACCCAGATTTCAATCTAGTGCTCTACTGTGCTAATGTACTAATGTGCTCTACTTTGAAGGGCAACTCAGGACTAGTGACTGTGGATCACACTTGGTTACAGAGTCATCCCATCTTTTTAACCGTGAGATTCATTTAAAATGCGGTGACATAAAGCTGTTTCCTCCCTCACCTCTTGTTAGTCATACCATATCCCCAGTCAGCCGTTCAATTCATTGAAGCTGAGCATAAACAAGCTGATAGTTCTTGTTGTCATTGCAGAGCTTGATTGTCTATTACTCAGAAGTATGAATGTAAGTGGTGTAATACTGGCATCACAAAGTTTAGTGTCATGGCGGCAGTTTATACTATAGAAAAACTTCAATATATGTAAGTAGATGATCTAGTACAATTAGTGATTTATTTAGTGATTCCTTCATTTTCTGCTGAAGTGTCTGGGGTTTACAGAGAACATTAACACTTTAAGTTCAGTGGGGTGATAGAACAGAAACTGAAGAAATTGGCTTTGTTATTTAAAACATTGCTTCACTTCACAAGTCCTATTTTATGTTTTATTAAAATCATGAAATTGCAGAGATGACTAGGCCAGGTTGAAAAATTTTTCACCTGGCGACTGAGTTTTTAACAAAACCTTTTCTTTACGGCAAATGATTACCTCCTTTGAAACTGAATACCTAAAAACTCATGTGTCCCATTTTCATCTGAAATTTGCAGTGTTTCAATGTAATATACTGCAGCAGGTAAGAAAATTAGCATTTTTGATGTCACTGCTTTCACTTTTCTTTGTAGACAGTGCTCTTTTATTCTACTACATATTCTACTGTGCCCTCTGTATGTTGACCCTTATTCTGTCTTCTTTCCCCCACTTCACTGAGAGGGAGGAAATAACATTTTCTAGCTATTTTATTCATTGCTTTTTTACAGATCAAGACACTTTACAAAGAAAAGCTTAAGGCTTGAGGCAAAGAGCACATTCAATAGGAGTCACATGGTCCAACTGTCCAGGGATTAAAACAGAATTTAACTCTTGGTAGCGATTCATCAAAATTTTAATCTGTGATGTCTTTTATTCGTGTATGCTCAAATCTTAGTTGCATCACTTGAGTAACTACAATCGTATTTACAAAAGCCATAAAGTAACTGGACAGGATTTGTAAGGTAGTGTAATGATCTCTTAATCTTGTCTCATTCTGATTTTTTTTAAACAATACACAGAATTTTTTGGTAATACTCACAGTGTATGTATTACTTACCAGATGCTAGATGGGATTTGTGGGTACAAGTGATATCTTTTTTAGAACAATTGGTACAGTTGGCAGAGTGGCATTCAGTCACAGAATTCCCTTTTTAGATCTGAAACAGAAACATCAAACTTCAAAATTAAGTACTGTGGCTAATAAATTGTCTCAGATTGTATGAGAAAGGAGTTAGCTGGTGCCTATGGAGTGAAGGTGGGGAAAGCTATGGGTAGGGAAGAGAGGTGCCAAGCTGATCATCTACTTGGGGAGAGTGACAGGTAAATCATAGCCTGTGGGGAACAAGAATGTTTCAGTCAGAGTCAGATGAGAAACCAGAAGTACTTAACTTGACCTTAATGTTCTGTCTCTGGAATTTGAATTTGGAAGGGAAGAAAAACAGAACAACACAACTTAGTGAGCAATATACTTAAGCTTATTCAATTTGTAATTGAGTAAATGTGATATCCACGAGAAACACTGAAGAAACAATACCATTTTAGTGTAATTTTAAAGATATTTTCTTCAGAGGAGGTTTGTAGTTCATATATCTGAAGCATCTTTTCCTGCATTGTGAGCTATTTTTTTTGCAGATAGCCTATTCAACAATCTTGGTTGTTTTTTATTTTATTTTTATTTTATTTTATATTTTATTTTATTCTGGCAAAGATGTTCTTGATGGCATTTGTTCTCTTATAATACAGCTGACTTGACTTAGTGAATATGTATCTTGTGTATGTGTGTCACACACAGACCCCTGAAGTAGCTTGTAGTATTTAATAAATTTTTATTAAAAAAAAAAAAGTATTTAATGATTAATGGTATACTGTGTTATGCACTGTAGTGTATTTCTAATTGCTGATACCATTTGTACAATATCTGCCTTTGGGGAGCTAGAAGTAGCTAACTGCGTGAACCATCTTGCCATCTTGGGTTTTGATACTGCATTTCAGCTTTTTCTAATGCTGAAACATTGGGTTGTTTGTGGGTATTGTTTCTTTTATTTTGTTATCATTTCATAGCTGTTTGTCTTAAAAAAAAAAAAAAAAAAAAAAAAGAAATTAAAAGAATTATTTTTTTCTAACTAATTTGCTGATTCCATGTGCCAGATGCTGCCATACACATTGTATCTCGAGTATCTCTACAATATCTAAGGATAGTGTTTGGGAGAGTGATTTCCTCTTTTTGTAGCATGTTACTATCTATTGATCAAAATGCATTGATGAGCTATACAGTGTGACTTAAGCACTATCTCAGTAATATCTGAGGAAGCAAAAAAAAAAAAATCACAGAGTAGTGATGGTAGTGCATAGATCTTTTGGGGGTTATTCCTTTTCTTTGGAGTTGTACAAAACTAAACTCTACCTGTCTACCATGGCAAGTCTCTTGAGAAACCTGTTATCTTGTCTGGATGAGTTACTTCCAGGTGTAACCTGGCTTGTCCTAAGCACTAGGGAAACATCCCCATGGTTTCTAATGGACAGGCATGATGCATGCTCACATGTAGGTGGCAAGGAGAACAGAATCCCTGCATTGAGGCTGTAGATTTAGATTTAATGGTTGTGTTTTGCCCATTAGAAGATATCCATGTAAATCCAGTATCTAGACCTCACCTAGTGCAATGTTGTCACCTTTGCCAGTGTCATGCTACTGCATCCATCTATATGAAGTTCTCTGCACTGCATTTTATATATGTATATAAAATATATGTGCATCATAAGGAAAGTTACAGATAACTGTAGAAAATAATTTCACTTGATGTTCAGTATCACTAACAGTGTGAAGAATTTTTAAAATATATTTGTATTCAGATATCACACCAAAATCAGTGCAGGATGCCATGACTGGTGCTGAGATAAAATAAAAGTTTAAAATCAAAATCAGATCCTGTATCTATAATTTGGATTTGCAAATAATACTTTTTAGAACTATTTGAAAGTAAACTGAACCAAAGTTTTGGAGCAATTCCCCTGAAGAGTTAGTAGCTCAAAATCCTTCTTTGTGGCAGATTTCCATTTCTGCTAATATTTAAATAGAATCAAGTAAAGCCCCATGATAGAACTGATACAACTCTCATGAAATGTAGTAGAAATAATCTAGATGTATAGATCTAATCTATACAAAATAATTTATAAAATTAAACTTTTTTTTTCCTTTTTTCTGTCATATCTGAATTAGCATATTTCCTATAGTACTTTATTTCTAGAAGTGGAAAAAGACATTCTTTGACTAGAATTTTGACTCAACAGACTATCAGGCTAATCTGCCATGAAAATATTTAATGTCAACATTAAATCAAGCATATTGGTATATTGTCCCATTTTTCTCTGCCACCTCCAACCAGCTACACTGGAGGTGACAAGTGACCAAAATGATCTCTGCTGTTCATGTTTTCCCCATGATACAGTTTTTGCATCCAGCTGGAGTCATTCAAATGACTCCAACAAAAAAGCTTTAGGTCTTCTATGGCTTCTTGCCTATTTACTGCCAGGTTTGTTAACTTTGAGTAAATAGTCAAAAGCTCTGTAGATTTTTTTTTGTCTCTGACTGAATATATGTCCCAGATAATCAACTTAGGGAGAGGTTTTTTTTTTTTTTTTTTTAATAGCATTTGCTTGTTTGGAGCAACATACTGTTCTTCATTAGTATTCCTATAGGTCATTCAGGTTCAGTGTTGCACATTTTTCATTCAGAAATCTTTTATTGTTTATTCTTAATATATGGACAATTAATATACAAAAATGAGATACTAGTTTATCAGTAATAAATTGTGTAGTAGATATTAAAAAGCAGTGTACTGTTGTATATACCCACAAGATGGCAGATTAACTTTAGCATATGTGACCTTCACCATTTGCTGAATTTTGTTTTTAGACATGAAACCGTAATGTTTTACTGAAGCCAGGAAGCCTCTGTCTGGCTTTTAAATAGGTATTTGTTGGAAAGAGCACCTACAGGCAGAGTACATAAGCACCTCACCCCTGGTCAGTGGTAAGACCTAGTCAAAACTGAATTAATACTGTATCTGAAAGCACCTGATTTCATCAAAGCTCTTTGTTTTATGTACTATTTGGAAGATATATTGGTAATATTTTTTACTTTTTAAAAGAGGTATAGCACGGATGGAGGAACATCTTCCACTCTGATTGGAAAAGCCAGCAAATGTGGAAGGATCTGTGGGATCTCCAGGAGTTATGTAGCTAGCTCCTTCCCACTGAAATGGAGAACCAACCCAATTCTGCAGCACAACCTCTGTAAAATCTGTGTATTGCCTCTGATGATGGTTCTAAACCACAAGACAGGGAGAATTCATCCATCCCCAGTCTCCTAATGTGTATTTCTTGTGACCTGTTGAACACTGAAAATCCCTACCAGCCTTCATCTCTTTCCTGGGGAAACCAGGTGGGATGGGGAGAAGAGAGAAGAAATATTAATTGTGTCTTGTCTAGTGTAAGGTCACGATAAGGTAGAGACATGCACCCATATCTGACAGCTACAAAGTGTGCTGCTGTCTCACAATGCACACATAAGGAGAGGCATAGACTAGATATACAGGTTAAGAAGGAGGAAGTTCTCTGCTCCCATTCTGTTTAAGCTGTCTCCTGTCTGTACTGAGGTGCATTCAGCCTACTTATTTTCATTATTTATAGTGTTTATTTTTTCCCTTCACTTGAGTAGTACCAAGTAGCCAGTTTCTCTGTGATTTTTGGTCACCTCTTTTGAGTCTCATAAACTGGCAAAATGCTTTAACCTGGACTGCCTTAACTGCAGAGAGATACCATTCAATAATCTGTGCATTTCTACTGGAATAAAAGCAATGTATAGTAACAATTGCAGCCCTTTGTAAAATCTATTTCTATAATGCCTGTATTCTAGATTTCTTGGATATAAAGCAGCCCTTTTATGTTCAAAACTGTTTTTGAAGAATTTGAAACATTCACTCAGCTAAATTTCCAAGCCACTGTTTTACTGTTTCATTTTTATAAGTCTTTATTAATAAATCTGGAACTTCCTTCAGATTTTTTACTTTGAACCCTGTTTTCCTCTTCCTTGGTTTCTGTTATGATCAGGTTCTTTGAAAATGTGCTGTATGCGTTCAGCGAGAGGAAAACAAAGCTTTGGATTCTGGCTCATCGCCTCCATTGCAGGGGCAGACAGGTGGTGATGTCCTGTCACCATGGCTACATGCAGCCCTTAGGGAGGGTTCTTGTAAGATGATAGCAATTCCTGAATGGGGGGAAGGGCATCGAGATAGACTCCTTCTGGCTGTGGGGTCTTTTGTATGGGTTGCACTCGATTTACATGCCTACCCGGTCACATGAATGCGTGCTCCCTGAAATGCAGGAATCAGGGAGAATACATCACTGCAGACAGCGCAGCAGCGGCTGCTCACATCATTTAAAATCATTGCACGGATTAGAAAAAAGGTCTGAGCTTCTGCATTGTATTGGCCATAGGGATTTCCAGAGTGAGGCAATTCATAAGTGCGAACATACCTGTCCTGAGGTGAGAGCAGGTTAATAGGCAGCAGCTAGGACAGTAGCCTGAATGGGAAGGGGATGACACTGTGGCTGTGAGTGTATCTCTTGAGAAAGCACAGGCATGCTGTGCTGGGAACTCTTCGTGAGAATAAATGGGAAAAAGTCCATTAGCTCTTTGACTCCCCTCGGTATGTCCCAGGAATTTAGGCACGTACCTAGCATACACAGACATGCAGCTGTCTTTGTGTGAAAAGGGTTTAATAGCATTTTCAGTGATTAAATGTAGTTTGACCTTGTTGATGTCATATCTGAAAAATGAGATTGCATCATCTTTGGCTTTGGTTTCAAGAAGCTCAAAAAGTGCCACCTAGTGGGTTACTGGTATTTTCTGTCTACACACTCCTCTTTGGCCTGACCTTGTTTAAACTTCTGAGAAGGACCAAGACCACAGCTGAGGCTGGCATTGCTGCAGGGCACTTGTCATTTCAGTGCTGCTCTTCCCAACACTTCCCACTAGCATGGCACCCTTTGCAGCAGTGCAGGTAAAGTCCTCTGCTGCTGCAGGAAGTGATGCCTGTAAGCAAAAAGGAATTTGGAAGGGGTGTAAAAGAGCTAAATAATATAAGCTGAAAAATGGTGAAGAACTGTCAGACCTAAAGCGTCAGAGCAAGTAAAATGAAAACTAAAATGAAGGCTGACCTTGTAGTTCAGAAGGGATGGGTTTTGTTGTCGTTCACGTGACTGAAACTTTACTTTAAGGACCATGCGGGTATCACTCTGGGTATAAAACATGTAAAATTTGGTGAGGCCATGTTGCAGAAAAAGTTACAATTTGTGATATTACTAATACTATTCAGTGTTGGAGTGCTCAGCCTGGAGTTTGGCCAGGAATGCTGTATGCAGACATCAGGAAGGGCTCCTTAACTCAGATTTCCTAACGAGGGCAGACAGAATACAGTGCATGAGAAGAGTAAAGATGGGAAGGAACCCTGGCATTTCAGTGGAGGATTGATTAGAAAGAGTTGGCTAAATGGAATAAAAGTCTCTTGTTGGTTCTTCTCTGAAGTTTTTCTCTAAGTCCCTGTGGTGAGTGAATGAGAGTTAGCACCTGGACCTCAGCTTCCCAAGGTGGGAGACCAGGTAGATGTTTTCAGTGCTGGGGAGGAGTGCGGCAGCAGTGAGCTGCAGACAGCAGTCGGTCTCCTTTGTACTCCAAATGCAGCAGTTCCTTCAGTATGCAGTTTGCTCCTAATGGTTTGGGAACAGCAAGCAGCAGTGACCTAGAAAATACAGAAATATCATTTTAGTGTAAAATATTTACAATCTCTATCTTCTGCTAGGCGAATTCTGCAGAATATTGAATTGGAAGCAGCCATAATGGCAAACTACATCCTCTTCCAAAATTGTCAGTTGTTATATATGCTAGTATGAACTACAACAAGCAGCATCCTTGTATATTGCATACCATATGTGTAAAAGAAGAATGGCTAGAACAAGAAATACAGGCTTGCAAAATCACTTTGAAAAGTTACTAGCAC